CCATTACAAGAACCTCTATAACCCCAATGATACCCATTACAAGAACTCCACGACCCCAGTGATACCCATTACAAGAACCTCCACGACCCCAGTGATAACCATTACAAGAACCTCTATAACCCCAGTGATACCCATTACAAGAACCTCCACGACCCCAGTGATAACCATTACAAGAACCTCCACGACCCCAGTGATACCCATTACAAGAACCTCCACGACCCCAGTGATAACCATTACAAGAACCTCCACGACCCCAGTGATACCCATTACAAGATCCTCCACGACCCCAGCAATGTCCATTACTAGAACCCCTAACACCCAGAGATGTCCATTACAGGAACCTCTATGACCCCAGTAATACCCATTAAAGAACCTCCACGACCCCAGTGATACCCATTACAAGAACCTCTATAACCCCAATGATACCCATTACAAGAACCTCCATGACCCCAGTGATACCCATTACAAGAACCTCCACGACCCCAGTGATAACCATTACAAGAACCTCTATAACCCCAGTGATACCCATTACAAGAACCTCCACGACCCCAGCAATGTCCATTACTAGAACCCCTAACACCCAGAGATGTCCATTACAGGAAACTCTATGACCCCAGTGATACCCATTAAAGAACCTCCATGACCCCAGTGATACCCATTACAAGAACCTCTATAACCCCAGTGATACCCATTACAAGAACCTCTATAACCCCCAGGATACCTATTAGAAGACATCTACAACCCCAGCAATGTCCATTACTAGAACCCCTAACACCCAGAGATGTCCATTACAGGACCCTCTATGACCCCAGTGATTCCCATTAGAAGAACCTTTTATGACCCCAGTGAGGCAAACTTAACAAGAACATTTACGACTCCAGTGATATCCATTAGAGGACATCTACAATCCCTATGATGCTCACTGTTAAAACCTCTAAGACCCCAGAGATGCACATTACAAGAACCTCTATGACCCCAGTGATGCCATTACAAGAACCCCTCTGGTCCCAGTGATGCACATTACAAGAACCCCTCAACCCCAGCCATTTCCATTTCAAGAATCTCCATGACCCCAGCAATTCCCATTTAAAGAACCTCTAAGACCCCAATGATGTCCATTACAAGAACCTCTAAGAACCCCAGCAGTATCCATTACAAGAACCTCTAAGACCCCAGTGATATCCATTACAAGAACTTCTCTGGTCCCAGTGATGCCCATCCCAAGAATCTCTAAGACCCCAGTGATTTCCATTACAAGAACCTCTAAGACCCCAGTGATATACATTACAAGAACCTCTAAGATCCCAGTGATGTCTATTACAAGAACCTCTAAGACCCCAGTGATGTCCATTACAAGAACCTCTAAGACCTCAGTGATATCCATTACAAGAACCTCTAAGATCCCAGTGATGTCCCATTACAAGAACCTCTAAGACCCCAGCGATATCCATTACAAGAACCTCTAAGACCTCAGTGATGTCCATTACAAGAACCTCTAAGACCCAGGGGCGGATTGACAACTCATGGGGCCCCCGGGCAATGGGGGATCATGGGGCCCCTGTGTCCTTGCCCAAACCTCAAAAAAGCCTATGAAAAAGGTACCAGGGGCATCTCATGGGGATACCCTACTGACCCCGGGACCTCGGGCAGTGCCCGAGTTTCCAAATGGTCAGTCCGCCCCTGCTAAGACCCCAGTGATGTCCATTACAAGAAACCTCTAAGACCCCAGTGATGTCCATTACAAGAACCTCTATGACCTCAGTGATGTCCATTACAAGAACCTCTAAGACCCCAGTGATGTCCATTACAAGAACATCTAAGACCCCAGCGATATCCATTACAAGAACCTCTAAGACCCCAGTGATGTCCATTACAAGAACCTCTAAGACCCCAGCGATGTCCATTACAAGAACCTCTAAGATCCCAGTGATGTCCATTACAAGAACCTCTAAGACCCCAGTGATGTCCATTACAAGAACCTCTAATAATACCCCAGTGATACCCATTACAAGATCCTCCACGACCCCAGCAATGTCCATTACTAGAAACCCCTAACACCCAGAGATGTCCATTACAGGAACCTCTATGACCCCAGTGATACCCATTAAAGAACCTCCACGACCCCAGTGATAACCATTACAAGAACCTCTATAACCCCAATGATACCCATTACAAGAACCCTCACACGACCCCAGTGATACCCATTACAAGAACCTCCACGACCCAGAGATAACCATTACAAGAACCTCTATAACCCCAGTGATACCCATTACAAGAACCTCCACGACCCCAGCAATGTCCAATTACAAGAACCCCTAACACCCAGAGATGTCCATTACAGGAAACTCTATAACCCCAGTGATACCCATTAAAGAACCTCCACGACCCCAGTGATACCCATTACAAGAACCTCTATAACCCCAGTGATACCCATTACAAGAACCTCTATAACCCCAGTGATACCTATTACAAGAACCTCCTACAACCCCAGCAATGTCCATTACTAGAACCCCTAACACCCAGAGATGTCCATTACAAGAACCTCTAGACCCCAGTGATGTCCATTACAAGAACCTGTAAGACCCCAGTGATGTCCATTACAAGAACCTCTAAGACCCAGTGATTTCCATTACAAGAAACCTAAGACCCCAGTGATTTCCATTACAAAAACCTCTAAGACCCCAGCGATGTCCATTACAAGAACCTCTAAGACCCAGTGATGTCCATTACAAGAACCTCTAAGACCCCAGTGATGTCCATTACAAGAACCTCTAAGACCTCAGCGATGTCCGTTACAAGAACCTCTAAGACCCCAGCGATGTCCATTACAAGAACCTCTAAGACCCCAGCGATGTCCGTTACAAGAACCTCTAAGACCCAGCGATGTCCATTACAAGAACCTCTATGACCCCAGGATACCCATTAAAGAACCCTCCACGATTACCCATTACAAAACCTCTATAACCCCAAGGATACACCATTCAAGAACCCCACTGACCCCAGTGATACCCAGTTTACAAGAACCTCCACGACCCCAGTGATAACCATTACAAGAACCTCTAAACCCCAGTGATTCCATTACAAGAACCTCCACGACCCCAGCAATGTCCATTACAAAGAACCCCTAAACACCCAGAGATGTCCATTACAGAACTCTAATGACCCAGTGATACCCATTAAAGAACCTCTAACGACCCCAGTGATACCCATTACAAGAACCTCTATAAGACCCCAGTGATACCCATTACAAGAACCTCCAAGATCCCAGTGATGTCCATTACAAGAACCTCTAAGACCCCAGTGATGTCCATTACAAGAACCTCCATAACCCCAGTGATACCCATTACAAGAACCTCCACGACCCCAGCAATGTCCATTACTAGAACCCTTAACACCCAGAGATGTCCATTACAGGAAACCTCTATGACCCCAGTGATACCCATTAAAGAACCTCCACGACCCCCAGTGATACCCATTACAAGAACCTCCACGAACCCCCAGTGATACCATTACAAGAACCTCTATAACCCCAGTGATACCCATTACAAGAACCTCCACAACCCCAGCAATGTCCATTACTAGAACCCCTAACACCCAGAGATGTCCATTACAGGAAACTCTATGACCCCAGTGATACCCATTAAAGAACCTCCACGACCCCAGTGATAACCCATTACAAGAACCTCTATAACCCCCAGTGATACCTATTAAGACATCTACAACCCCCAGCAATGTCCATTACTAGAACCCCTAACACCCAGAGATGTCCATTACAGGAACCTCTATGACCCCAGTGATGTCCATTACAAGAACCTGTAAGACCCCAGTGATGTCCATTACAAGAACCTCTAAGACCCCAGCGATGTCCATTACAAGAACCTGTAAGACCCCAGCGATGTCCATTACAAGAACCTGTAAGACCCCAGTGATGTCCATTACAAGAACCTGTAAGACCCCAGCGATGTCCATTACAAGAACCTCTAAGACCCCAGCGATGTCCATTACAAGAACCTCTAAGACCCCAGCGATGTCCATTACAAGAACCTGTAAGACCCCAGCGATGTCCATTACAAGAACCTCTAAGACCCCAGCGATGTCCATTACAAGAACCTCTAAGACCCCAGTGATGTCCATTACAAGAACCTCTAAGACCCCAGAAGAACAATGGCAAGTGGCAGAGGGCCTAGGAAGAAATCACTCAATAGCTCTGATAGCCCAAGATCCTACCCAGAAAACCCAGGTGGCAGATACAAGGAGGACATACGACGGTGAAACCAAAAACGCCCGAAGCTTAAAAACACATTTATGTGTAAGGGCTCGTTCACACCAGCTTTTTAGTCTATGGATAGTGATTTGCACTTGGATCGCTCTTCAGAGAGCATTTTGACAGGCAGTGAAGAGGCGTTATCCTGCCTACCTTTATCGCTGCACTGGCACGCTGCAACCACACGTATTGCATGTGGTTGCTTTTGAGAGGTGCTACGCCCACTGAGAGTGCCAGGGGTATTGTAGTTGGGGGTTAAGAGCATGGCTCAGCCATGAGGTTTTACCTCCAACTCATGTGTGAATGAGCCCCAACAACTGGCAATGTATCAGGGGATTCCCTAGCAACAACTGTTTATTTGCTGTGTGTGGGCTCTCCCTGTGTCTCTCTCATGATGTCACTGACAGGTTTTCCCTTTCTAGGTCTGGACATCACACAACCATCTCTGAGGGAACCTGCAGGGCGCCATGACGACACGTCTGACAGGAAACACCATAATAGGTAAAGCGGAACAGTGGGCGGAGCTCTGGACTGTACGGGATTGTTCCGCGGGCGGAGTCTGGGGGGGGCTGTACGTGCTGAAGTTCTTGGAAGGACGGGAACGTGTACGTCCGTGACGTCGGCGGGAGGGGCGCCTTAAGCCTGGTCTGGGGGAGTTCTTCGTTCATTCAGGCCGTGAGACGGAACGGCAGAAGGACTTGGTTCGCAGTGACTGTACGTTCCCGCTGGTGACAAGATGATGAACCCGGCCCGGTTTAGGAATGGCGGACTAATTCCCTGTCACCTGCTGTACGGAGGGGGAGGGGCAGTGCTCTCCTCCAAGGACACCCCGGTGGTCCCCCTGGACAAGGACGGCTGGGGAGGCCTATCGGCTACAACGAGGACGGCTCTCTCCCCAACTCCCAGGGCGAGCTGGATGAGGACGAGGATATGGACGTGGAGTCCGACTCCCTGGGCTCCAATTCCCCATTACCCAGCCCCACCGAGGAGGCCCCGGACACCCTCACCGTGCAGACCCGCACGCTGCTCTACACCCTGTTCACCGAGCAGGCCGGAGCCGGCAAGGGGGACGGGGGCGACAACACCAAGGCCCTCACCACCCTCCGGAGGCTGGGAGCCGAGATCGGAGACAAACACAAGGTGGCCTTCCACGGTGAGTCCGACCACCTACCTCCATAGAGAGACCACCTACCTCCATAGAGAGACCACCTACCTCCATAGAGAGACCACCTACCTCCATAGAGAGACCACCCACCTCCATAGAGAGACACCACTTACCTGGGCTGGGGACTGACCTCCATACATAGTACATAGTTATCCAAGCAGGGCAAACATATATATAAATTCAAATAAAATGGGGTTAATAATTTTAGAATACTCATCTCTGAGAAGAGGGGAAAATATATATATATATATATATATATATATATATATATATATATATATATATAACATTTTTAATTAGTGTATATCCTAAAATGTTTTTTTTATATTAACATTGCATTCAAAAAAAGTTCTAATATTTTATAATATTCAGCTCTACAAATGTAGAGAACATTTTTTTAATAATAAATTTAAGAGATGAATATCCTAACATGTTTTTTATGCAGTGTTACATTAAAAAATGGTAATTATCCAACATATTATACAATGTACACAGAACAATATTTTTTTTATCTCCCCTGAAGTTTTTGTAGATGAATAAATTGCTGTATTCTAAAGAAAAAAAAATACCTCCAGGATACCTAAGAAACGGGAATGAAAAATGAATAGTAAAAAAAAAAAAATTTTTTTTTTTTTACAGAGAAGTCTAATTTTTTTTTAATTGACTGCAAATTAAAAATGTTTTATTCATGCAATTAATGGATGGGTGTCTCAATTAAAAAAATAAAAATCTATAGGCTGCCTAAAATATATGAAGGGGGGTGGGGATGTGTGTGTGTGTGTGTGTGTATATGTATATATGTGTGTGTGTGTGTGTGTGTGTGTGTGTGTGTGTGTGTGTGTATGTATATATATATTAGTATTATAATCATTTTTCAAAAAGGGATACTGTAAACATATCTTACTAAAGGGTTCTTAAGTATCCTGGAGGTATTTTTTTTTTTTCTTTAGAATACAGCGATTTATTCATCTACAAAAACTTTAGGGGAGATAAAAAAAAATATTATTCTGTGTACATTTTATTATATTTGGATAATTACCATTTTTTAAAAAGGGGTACTGTAAACATATCTTACTAAAGGGTCTATCCTCTTTAACTCCTTTTTTCAGGTGGAATTATTTTGTAGCTAGGTGTACAGCAGATGTATTCAGTAGTGGAAAGCAGATGGCAAAAAAGTGTGTGCAGAAATGTGTGAGGGTTTTTTTTTTTTTTTTTTTTTTTTTTTTGAAGCTAGTTCTAGATTTGCATTGAGCTCTTTGTGCTTTTCTTAGTGTGTATTTGCATGCGGTGGGCCTGAGCTGTTGATTGCGCACACTCGCTGGCCCTGCTGGCTATGATCCCTCCAGAGCTGTTGCATGCAGAGTGTATACGTGGTGTACAGCAAGCGCACAGAAATGCTGCGACTCCACCTCGCATACCGATCTTCTTCCTGCTGTGGATGATGTACAGCCGTGTTTGTTCGTTGCTCACATAAGTTGAGGAGCCAGTTTTGCAGGATTGGCAATTATTGTTCATAGCGAGCTCATCCAGCTTCCTTTTTCTGTTTTAATAACAGAATAAATCTTCCTGTATTGTGCAGATTGAGTGATCTTAGTAGTTGTGTTTACAAGCTGGCTGTGTGTGTATGTATATCTCCCCACACATATATTATAATGTGTCTGTGTGTATATGTGTGTGTGTGTGTATATATATAATCTATCCCCCCCACATATATTATAATGTATATGTGGGTGTGTGTGTGTATATATTATACACACACAATTTATTTGGGTCAACAAAAGTCTGGATCCTGTCCTGTGTGATAGTCTGTCGGATGGTCCCAGCAGTCATTGATTTGACAGATCAAAACCTTGACCAGCTTTGCTCCCAATATGCCTGTCTGGCAGCTCTTTGCCCCTTCTAGTTGCATTCACACTTTCGACTGTGTAGGCGTGTTTTTTTTTTTTTTTTTATATTGTTGCAATCATGTCATCAGATAAGACTGGTTCCTGGTTCACTGGAAATTTCCAGCCATTACAGTACGCCTTCGTGTTTTCTGAATTTTTATCTTTTTTTTTTTTTTATCTTTGTCCTCCTCCCTGTCCAATCTTTTTATCCTTGGTGCTTTTTTTATTTTTTTTGAGGCACATTGCCTAGACTCGGGAATTTAAACTCCAGTAACCCCTGCTGGTTTGCAAGCTGCATCCTGTTTAAATTCTTCTATAATTTATGACCATCCCCTTTGAATAATGCATTATTCCAGCGCATGGTTTCCTCCCCCCTGGTTTCCATTGATAATCTGGTGTTTTTCCAGACAACGCGAGCAAAAGCAGAGGGAGGAAAATGAAACTCAGTTTGGTGTTTTATGTTGCGTTTTTCAAACATCCTGTTTTGCAGCGTTGAGCAATGAACAAAAAAAACACTATATATATTTTTTTTTTTTTTTAATATTCAACACTTCCTCCATCTGGTTATGTCAGTTTTGTGGCACTCTGAGCTTTGGTAAAACATCGCTGCCAAGTCCATCTGTTTTATTTATTTTTGTATTGTGTAAAGGCCATTGACCAGAAGCAACTGGATCCAATTCTGTTGGCTCCACTTTGGTTTTTATTCACTGTGTTGCTTTGGGACCCATTCACCAAGTTTTTCACCCTTTGCAATGGGCTTTCTCACTCTCTATCCCTAAAATAATTTTCAGGTCTTGGTGAACCCTTGCTACAAGGTATATCTACAGTTTGCAGTAAATTGGTGATCCCTAAACTGTAGAACATTTTGCATTCTAATAAGCTGCCATGCCTAGCATATTTGACACCATGGGGCATTTTTTTTTTTTTTTTTTAGGATTAGTAATTGTGAATGAAGAATATTAGAGAAGCAAATCGGTGAAATGTGGTGTCCCTCCAACACAGGGGTGGACAAATTTAATATGGAATGCAGGAGCCAGTTTGTCCCTGCAGGAGCCAGCTGCATTTTATTTTTCATGGAAGCGGCTCCATTGACACTAAATAGAACCTTAAGTTTAGGCGCCAGCTGTAATTTTTAAGGTGCATTTGCTACCTGGCTCCTTGGATTTGGCCAGTCCTGCCCTGATATTACTGCCAGTGTGGAAGTGCTCCCTAGTGTTAGTGGCCAGTCTAGGTAAGAGACCAATTGGCTATCGTTCTCTGATCAATGAACCTGCCCCCTAGGAACCTCTGGAGGAATACTGCTTGAGAGGGGCTGCAATTCAATTATTTTCTCTAGAATTGCGTTGTGTCTTGGGAGGGGGGGAGCTCTGGACAGTCTATTGGGGGGGAGGGAGGGGGGAGCTCTGGGCAGTCTATTGGGGGGGAGGGAGGGGGGCGCTCTGGGCAGTCTATTGGGGGGGCGCTCTGGGCAGTCTATTGGGGGGGGCGCTCTGGGCAGTCTAGCATGAGGGGGGGGCGCTCTGGGCAGTCTAGCATGGCGGGGGGGAGGGGAGGGCGCTCTGGGCAATCTAGCATGGCGGGTGAGGACAGGGGTGCTCTGCCCAGTCTAGCATGGCGGGTGAGGACAGGGGTGCTCTGCCCAGTCTAGCATGGCGGGTGAGGGGGCACTTTTTACAGGCTGTGGGGTGTTGCTCTTGCCAGCTGTTGGGGGATGGGGTCGCTGTGAGCTGTGTACAGGGGCTGACTATAGAACCAATTTGTGGCTAGGATAAAAGCTATACTAGAAAATACAAATGTAAGAAATGGAGGCTTTTAGGCATTGAATGCCCACTGTGTGCAAAACAAAGGTTCAGCACTGATTTTCATGTATGTTAACAGAAGAGTTTGGTCAGAATTGTTGCAAGGTTAAAGAAATATAAAAGCAGTCCTGCATCTCAGTGAATTGGTCCTTTATGTGTTTATCTGTATATTTTGTCTGTCAGTCTTGCCAGATTTCTGTGCAGCAGCAATGCCATTGTTGCCATTGTCGTCATTTTTATTAGGGAAAGCAACACTCCTCCATCTTGATATTCTGCAGGCAATATGCTGCCCAAAATGGGTTCTTTTTTCTTTGGGTGTCCGCATTCCATTATTGTTGCACTTTTGTGAACTGAGCTGATATGTGCAAAAAACAGCTTTTGCTCCTGGGCTGCTTCTGCTTTTGTCATTGCAGAACTTACTGTATTGGTCAAGAATGTGAACAACTGAGGGCTGATTTCTGGTAACTGAAGCTGAAATATTGCTGCCTGCAGCAGCCAATCAGATTTCATCTTTCAAGAGCAATGGGGAACCTAGTTGCAATGCAGTTGGCTGCAGTTTTGTTTTAAAGGGGAAGCTTTAAGGGATAGAAATATTCCAGTATTCCTTTTTCACTAATAAGGTAGTCACTAATGTGGAGCAAGGATGTAACCATTGGAAGCATCAACACATCTGACCTGCACATACTTGTTCCAGGTCAGTGACTGGGTATGGAAGAAAGGACCTTGCATGGTCCATGAGTCGCCAAGTGTGGAAGAAAGTATTTTGCATGGGCAACTGTGGGAGTTCTGTCTGTGCTGACAGGTTCCTTTTAACAAATCAACATTCCTCCTATAAGTTGTTCCTCAAAGTTGGCATCTCTCAATGTCTCTGGTTCTCGGTGGTGGCCAGTCACATACAGACTAAATTTGATCATATGTTGTGCCTGCCTTTGCTGATGTTAATGCTAGCAAATTTTTTTTCTCCAAATAACCTGGATATTTAGTGGTCTTCCCTTCTTTATTCCAGGAATGTTACAGAGGTTGTCTATAGAAAATGATAACGACATTCAGAAACTCTCTGAAGTTCCTTCCATGGTCTTCAACGATGGGATTACAAACTGGGGTCGGATTGTTACCTTGATAAGTTTCGGAGCTTTTGTGGCCAAACATTTGAAGAGCATAAAGTTGGAGCACTGCATTCGTCAACTGGCAGACAACTTCACAGATTATCTTATGACCCAAAAAAGAGAATGGATTGTACAACACAATGGTTGGGTGAGTATTGTGCTTTTGCTGAGCTCCTCTTTTGGTTGGATGTTTGGAGATTTTCCAGGATACACTCAATGGGGGGGGGGGGGAGGCCCATGTGGGATATGTATGGCGACCCCTTTTAACAAGTAACTAAAAGATGACCTTTTGAATGTCCCCTAAGAGTTTATGGTATTTTCCACCGGCTGTAGACTGTCCTGTAACTTGAAGGATCTGAAATCTTGTGGATATTAAAAGGAACTTGTGTAAAGGTCATACTTGTGATCTCCTTTTAAATCCTAGTTTCCTGCTACTTAACCAGTAGCTTCAAAACTATGAGCCTCAGACTTGGAAGAGCTAAGCAGATCAGTCTGGCTGAGAAAATACAGATGTCAGATCACGAGATTTCCCTCACTTTGGATATGTCCTCTTGCTTTCTGTTTTGACAGGAAATGCACGTAAAATTCCCAAATATGCCAATAAGGCCCAAGACTGAGTTTTAAGCATTGCTACTATGAACGCAAAATAGTTTTCCTGGCTGCTGCACACCTCACCTGGTCATGTGGTAGACCGATAAAAGCGGCTTTAGCTCAGTGCCTCAAACGGTCTGCGTGTTTCAAGTGGTGGGACGAAACGCGTCAGTAGCATGGACTGAGGTGAAGCTGCTGTTACCGGTCTACCACATGACTGGGTGAGGTGTGAAGGAGTTGGGAAACCTCTTTACTTTGCCTGCATGCTCTGGATCTGATTTAAACCCATTTCCAGCCTGTGCCCTTAGTGTTTCAGTGGCATCCATCCTGCTGGACCCAAACAGCCTGACTGGGGATCCCCAAGCACTGTTCTAGGGTTACATTGCTATTATGAACATTATGGCTGTCACTACAGTAGATACAGTATGGTGGCATATTTTTGCTTAATAGCTAACAGATTAACCACCTTTTTAGTACTGCTCAGAACAGCAGGAGGGAGACTAACTTTTGAACAATTTGAATGTGGTTGAAAGACTAATTTATAAATGTTACCTTTTTACTAGTTGAGCTGTTGGTGAATTTTAAGAAGATTTAATGTCTCGTTTTCCTTACAGGAGGGATGTGTGGAATTCTTCCATGTTGAGGACTATGAAAGTGGACTAAGGACCGTTTTGATGGCCTTTGCAGGCGTAGCAGGTCTTGGAGCAAGCCTGGCATACATGATCCGGTGAACTTGTCTTAATTTTTTTTTTTTTCTTTTTCGTTTTTAACTGATCCTGACAATTACCAACAGTCTTTGCTCATGGCTTCTTTGATGCGACGCAAATAAAGGAGATGTTTCTCGCTGTGTCTGCCACCCACCATTTGCCAGAGTCAGATGCAATGCAAGCTTGGGCTATTCCTTCGACAGTGGAGGAGGATTTATTTTTACAAACTGTTGACAAACGCCATCTTGTCATTGTTAAATCTTTATTTTTTTCTACAAATAAATTTAATATATTTTCGCAAAAAGTGTGAACTTTTGTTGAAAATAAAGGTACACATCTTTCAACTCTTTTGGTGCCTGAATGAAAGCTATCCACTGGCACCAAGGGAGCTGAGACCATAAGTGATGAAAGCTCTGCTCTCGTAAGTAAAATATAAAGTGTAAATATGTATAGAAAAATGTACAGATGTGCCATCTAGCTGGTGTACAATACATCTTACCATTGTGAATTTTTGTTTGTCACCGCAGACCCTACATAATGGCAGAGATGGAGGTTTTTTTTTTTTTTTTTGTTTTTTTTTTTTCTCCCCACTTATTAAAAAATAAAATTTGACCCCCTAAATTTTAAGAGGGAAAAATTAGGACTTAATCTTGGAAGCCTGTTCAGCTGTTTTTTTTTTTGTTGTTTTTTTTTTTTTTTTCTTTTCTTTTCTCTGCTCTGTATGTTTAACCCTCATCTATTGAATAGTCCAGAAATTATATTAGTCTAAAACAGATGTTATAATATGCTATGCTTCCCTTTTTTTTTTTTTTTATTTAATATATTCACTGGTCACTCTGGAAGATGCCATTTTTAATATTTCTCATGAACCGATTAACCTGCTTCAAATGGCCCCTTTTTCGAGTGACAGATGTTCTCCAAGACCTTTTCACTTGATCTTTTGAATGCAAAGCTAACCTTTTTCAATCACAAACTCCCATGAGGTTCTTTTTAGGTTTAGATCTTGTTTCATGTTGAATGTTTTCGTTACAAAGGAAAAAAAGAAAAAAAAATCTGTCTTGCCTTGAAAATCACCCCGAGTCTCAGTTGTCCTTCCCTTTTTTTTTTTTTTTTTCCCCTAAACTTTATCAAGTAACTTGGGTTATATTAACCCTCAATTGGTTTTGTTTCTTGACTTCTTGTCAAGAAGTACCAGTTGTTAATCTTTTGAAACCATAGTTATCAATATGGTGCTAACAGGTTTTTTGTTTTTTTGGTTTTTTTTTTTTTTTTGTTTACGTTGAATAAAATCCCTATTTTGGTTATGTTTTTGTATCATTGTATTATTCGAGTGAATGGGTTCCTGAATTGTGTTTTTGACTTCAGTGCCAATTGGATAGTGATAATATAAATTGCTCTAGTCCTATTTCACAAATGATGGGTTTCTGTTGGTGGACAACTAGTTCTTTAAAGAGAACTGGTCATCTGTTACACCTAAGTAAATGGTGCCTGTTGCAGATTACACTCTAGGTCCATGTTAACCAACCTTTTCTTGACACTCTTCAAAAGTATGTAAAGTCTCAAGGCACTCCAAATGGGGTCCCTCGGTCACATCAGAGGCCCCCTTGTTAAAATCCGGATTCTCAGTTCACCCTATTCCACATCAGTCCTCTGTTTTCCCCCCGCCCTCATTTCACAACACCTTCACGTGAGTACTCCGGTCTCCACTTTAATATCGGTATCCTCAGCCAGCACATCTGCACCTTGGAAATGCATGGTGCTATGGAAGCCCAGTAGGTATGCCATGGCACTGTGGTTGAGAAACACTGCTCTAGGCAGCTTGATCCCTGCCCATCTCTTCCTGTGGTGGATAAGCTGTAAAGTCTTGGAAGCTTTTATACCCATAAAGTAGGTTTCCTAAAGCATTTGGCTTCATGCAGCCACTTGGCGCTAAACGCCTTTAGCCCAATGGCAAGTGGCATCATTTCTCCAGAAGCATGGGGGAGGATTAGTCTCTATGCTCTTTCAACACATCTGGGATTGTTGAGGGGACAACTGGATCAGGCTGTGCTAAAGAAAACCTTTTCCAAAAGAACAGTCTATACTGTTTAACAGATGACTGGTTCTCTTTATGCACCTGTCTCCTTTTTGTACTGGACATGCACAGCTCAAATTTCACTTGATTCTTGCTAAATAAGCCAAAATTTGAGCCATAGGTGGCCCTGTTTACATTTCTCAGGTTGTCAAACTTTGATCTGAAACTTGAAAGAAGGAGCTTACTGTACCCAGTTGACTGTGGTCACTGTTCAGGTTGACTGCCATTGTAGTGGCTGTCAGCATAGTGTAGTTTCCTTCATCCAGTCTGTTAGCTTGGTTGGGGAAATTAATTGCTCTCTTGTTCAGCCCTGCGTGTAATGTATGGCTAGCCTTAGTTTGTCTGTAGATTTTTTTTTTTTTTTTTTTTTCCCTTTCCCACAGTGCTGAATGTATTGCAAAATCAGGAAGAGGAAAATGTTACCTAATGCATTTGTCTAATTGCTCAACCTTTACATCCTTATCATTGAACCTTTTTTATTTAGATTCCAAGAAAAGCAGAAAACTTTATATGCTGCTCCATTATTCCCAGAGTAGGCGTTTATCATAGTATGACATTTGTTATCACTTTTTACCAGAGAGTCAATCTCTTCCATTTTCTGTCCTACCCAAGTGGAAGTTAGATATGTCTGGCGGCGAAGGGTTAGTACATAATTCTTTCAGTTGAGAATGGCCACCGTGTGAAAGCCATGGCCTTGTATGCATAGGCTGTATGTAGAGTCTAATTTCAATAGGTGCTGGCTAGATTTTTTAAGGCTCATCTTAATTATCCAATGACAAATACTTGATTTACCAATCCGCTTCTATTGTATAGGCTGGGGTGATCAGGAAAACTAGTTTTAGAGTTGGTGTAAACAACGACCTTGTATGTAGTAAAAAGAAGGAAACATTTTTTTAAAAACATTTTGAACTCTTCTACAGGAACCCCACCATGAGGTGCTGAGACAAATTGTTTTACATGCAGACTGCTGAATCCCGATGGAGCTTAGGAGTGATGTATTTGTAAATAAAGCTTGCTGAAAGTTGGTGTATAGCCATACATCTCCCACCCAGCACTGTCCAAGTCTTTGATTGGATGAGATGCAGGCCTGGTGAACCTATGCCCTTTTCAATAAGCCACATATTTTTTTCAGTAACCCACAGTTTCCTTCAAGATTGTACACATGGCATGATAGAGTGATGTTTTAGTGTCTTGGCACTGTCAAAGCCTTTGGTCCTGCACCAAGCATGGCACCCAGGTGAGCACATGGCCTTTTCAAGAAGCCACATATTTTTTTGTTGCCTTTCCATCACCCAAGATTGTGCACATGGTGTAAAGGAAGAGTAATATTTCAGTCTTCAGAGTTCCACCACCACTGTTTCCTTTTATTTCAAGAATGCGGCTGGAGAAATCTTAAAATTTGCTTTGCCAGTTCTGCAATGGCCATTGTAAGAGAATTTTGCTTTTGGCACTCATGTCTCCTATATTATGGAAGGTGTAACCGTAGTAGTGGTAACACCCCCAACATGGCTAAGAGCGGTCCTAGGAACTATGACCGAGAGCATCATCTAGAGAAGCAAAAAATGTGACTCAACCATTACCTGACCCTTTTATATTTTGTTTTGGGTCTTGTACGATGGACAAACACTTGTGAGTGCCTAACCAGCAAACATGAGCTTTTATGCCCAATGTGAAACCATGAGTTGATCTCCCCTTTTGCAGCTATAACTGCCTTCTGCGAAGATTTTCCATAAGCCTTTGGAGTTTTCTGTGTTTTATAGTGTCCATTCACCCGAAAGGTACTGACGACAAACAAGAAAACCTGGCTTGCATCTGGTGTTTCTGTTTTTATCTCAATGTTGTTGGTAGGGTTAAGGTCAGCAGTCTGTGCAGGCCATTCAATTTCCTTTAAACCAAACTCCTCAAACCGTGTCACTATGGAGCTGGCTTTGTGTACAAGAGCACAGTCATGGAACAGAAAAGGGTCTTCTTCCAACCATTGCTGCAAGGTTGGAAATGCACAATCCTATAAGGCTTTGTATTATTGCATTAACAGCTTCCTTTATGAGAAATCCCTGAACTCAATCATTCAGAGTGGTGTCCACATACATTATTCATATCATTTTATCTAAGGCCTGGTATGTTTGGGGCTTTTAGATATTCAGTGAATTAAAGTTAACAGACTATCAAAGGTAGGGCACAGGGTGCACTTGACTAGTGGTCCCCAAACTGCATCCGGGGGGCAGGATTTGGCTTCTTTTCTTGCCTTTTATACAGCCCTTGAGGCACTATTCCTCCCAAGTGCCAACAATGGTGGGGCATAATTCCTGCGAGGTTAGGGCACTATTCAGTCTCCAACAAAATCCAATATAATCTCCCCTGCACATACAAGTGTAGCCCATACAAATAGACTCCACTATTCCATCCTCTGATACCAAAAAGGGCTAACTATTCTTCCCACTGATACCAAGAATGGGGCACTATCCTGTCCCCTGATACCAAAAGGGGTAACTATTCCTCCCACTAATACTGAGAATGGGGCACTGTCCTGTCCCCCTGATACCAAAAGGGGTAACTATTCCTCCCACTAATACTGAGAATGGGGCACTATCCTATCCCCTGATACCAAAAAGGGCTAACTATTCTTCCCACTGATACGAGAATGGGGCACTATCCTGTCCCCTGATTCCAAAAGGGGTAACTATTCCTCCCACCAATACCAAGAATGGGACACTATCCTGTCCCCTGATACCAAAAGGGGTAACTATTCCTCCCCACCAATACCAAGAATGGGGCACTATCCTGTCCACTGATACCAAAAGGGGTAGCTATTCTTCCCACTGATACCTATAATGGAGAACTATTTGTTCCCCTGATACCAAAAATGGGGTAACTGTTTCCTCCCACAAATACCAGGGATACCAGTTTACTCCCATTGACTCTAGAGCATTGTCTACTCACAATGGCTGCAGTTGCCCTCCCCAAAGGCTGAAGATCTGTAATTTAGTCCTTTTTATTATGAAAGTTTGGAGATCCCTGCTCTAGTGTATAGCATACTTGTTGAATATGAAGGTAGATCATCCAGAATACTTTTTCAAATTGGCCCTACTTCGCTTGTAAACTCTTCATAGGCCTTGTTCACTGAAAGACAAGGTGTGGACTGCCAGTGCTTACTAAACATAGAAATGTTGAATGTTTACACAGTAAATATTCTCTGGAGCGCTTAGTTTGGACAGACCTGCTCCTCGTGAGTCACAAGATATTAATACAAAACACACAGTATACCTCTCAGGGAATATTTATTTTTTTTTCAGTTTGTGACATGAAATGGGGGGAAAATATTCTTGGTCCTTGCCAGCCATTTCTTTATAGCAAACATCAGTGTACCCTCAGGCCATAGAGCCCACCTCTTACTGGAAATAAAAATGTAATTCTTGGCAAAGTCTTCTGTGTTTGAACATTGACTTAGAACAGTGGGCTGCCTTTAGTCTACCTAAGGGGAAAAAGTCAGTCGGTATCCTGCTTTGGCCAACTAGTATTCTCATTTTGATAACTGTCTAGTCCAAGTGTGTTTGCATTTAGAATAATAAGCATCATCGCCCAGTCTGCTGGGCAAAGTTGAGCTCTGTAAGTATGCACTTTTGCACTTGAACATGCATAATACTTGCATATTCTGACATACTTCCCAGTATGGCCTCCTGCAGCGACGACGGGTCCAATTTCAGTTCCCACTTTGTCCACCCCTGCCACCTCTTTTGGGTTCTGCAATGTTCCTGTTTGACCTTTTGGATGGCATGCCAAAAATGAGCTTGGATGTGTGGTGTACATAGGAAGAGCAATATTGTGATTAATGAGCATGAAGAAAGGTTTTAGCAAAAGTGTCTCTTTAGACGAAAATCTCCTAAGTCCAGCATTTTGACCATATTTAGGGTATAATGTAAAGCATGGTCCTTTTCCACAAACCACCCCCCCCCCCCCCCCCCCACCTTACTTGACTCTTATTCTTTTGACTTCAGATTTGCTGTCTGTGGCTGTAACCTCACAGCTGCCCTGTCCTTTAACAGATCTATTCATGTGGATCTATGAATGGAAGGCTACAAGTCCCAAATGACACCTCAACAGAAGAGTCTGTAGATCTCAATGTAATACAAGTGCTGTGATGTCACCATACTCAGTTTCATTGATTACTTCCTCTAGGCCAGAGCTTTCCAAACTGCGGCCTGTGGGTCGAATGTGGCCCTTAGCTTGCTTTTATCTGGCCCTTGGGACACTATTCCTTCCATTAATATGAGGCACTATTCCTTCCACTGACACCAAAGGAGCACTTCTCCTCCCACTGACACCAACAATGGGGTACTTTTTCTTCTACTGACACCAGAGATGGGAAACTAATTCTCCTATTGATACTAGGGATGGAGCAGTATTCTACTGACACCAGCAATGGGGTATTGTTCCTTCCACTAACACCAGAGATGGGGAACTATTTCTTCTACTGACACAAACTATGCAGTCCTATTCATCCCACTGACATCAACAATGGTGTATTATTCCTTCTGCTAACACCAATGATGGGGCACTATTACTCTCACTGACACCGAAGATGGAGCACTGTTCCTCCCACTGACACCCAACAATGGGGTACTATTCCTTCTACAGACACCAGAGATGGGAAACGAATTCCAATTACATAGTTACTCTGGCTGAAAAAAGACAGAATCCATCCAGTTCAACCATAATCATACTAAGGATGGAGTAGTATTCCACTGACACCAGCAATCTGGTATTATTCCTTCCACTAACACCAGAGATGGGGCACTATACCTCCCACTGACACAATGAGGGTACTATTCCTTCCACTGACACCAGAGATAGGGTACCAATTCTGCCACTGACTCCAATGGTGGGGTACTATTCCAACCACTGACTCCAAAGATAGGGAACTAATGCTCACGCTTTACACCAATGATGGAGCACTGTTCCTTCCATGGACACCAATGATGCATTTTTTTCTTTACTCCCAGTGACCACCTAGCTTTTGGCATTTTCTAGTCACTGGCCACAGTCTGACTCCACCCCCCCCCACTAGATGTGTCATGATTACCTACTGTACATTGGGCAATAAACTAGAAAAAAAAACTGCCTCAATCTGCCCTTCCCCCCCCCCCCCCCCCCCCCCCCAAAGTTTAAAGGCTAGTAAACTGGCCCTTTGTTTTGAAAGTTTGTAGACCTTCACTTTTGCCCCATAATGGTAAGTCAGTACAGACCTGGGGATAGGGGAAGAGTCTGTACATTGCACTCGCACTGCTCGGCAGGTTGTAGGTTACTCCATTTTTCGATTAATGATTTAGTCTGTCAATGGTTTATTGAGTGAGGCTGAAATGCTTATTACAATTTATAGCCCATAACTCGGAGTCCTATGTATGATGAGGGCTTAGCTATGCCATTCAGCTAATAAAGACAAATGTCACCACTATGCATATGTTGAGTTAGCATTTCAAATAGCTTCCACTTCTGTGTGCACTAGACAGGTGCACTTTTGCCTCTCCCCCCTCTCAAATCGAAAGCTTCATAGGAGTATCAAAGCTTTTCTATCGGATCTCTTTGAACGTATTTGCTTTTTGTATCAAGTGTGCCTCCACTTCAAAGGCCTTCTGCAGCTGGCTCTTTCTCAGGTTACACACGAACACCCTTTTCCTGCCGTCTGCCTTGTAAACCTTTTTAAGTTGTATGAAGGTTGCTGTAGCCTTGAAGCATGATATTGCAATGCTGGGGCGGTGTGTGCACATCAGATCCATCTGCTCCCATACGTCATGTGGTACGACATACAGTAAACAAAAGGCTTCAGTTTGTTCGGGCAGCTCCTTCTCCCAGCATATGCTCCACATAGGAAGGCCTCTTGACTGTTCCAGTACAGGGGGGGCGTAGGCGACGGTGGCTGAATTTCAATGTGAATAAAGTACTTTATGGCTGTTTGTTAAATTGAAGGTAACTTATAGTATATTTTAAATAACCACTTTAAATACCCTCAAATTCAAAATCCTCCTGGGTCTCCTACCATAGTGGTCCTTTTCATTTAGATGGTGAGGTATAGTGAGAGCTGACACAGTTGTACCCTTCAGGGTCAGCTTGAATTTGGAAGTTGATCGAGGTTCTTTTTCCACCATTCCAACAATCCTTTGTTGCAATCTTTGATCAATTTTTCTCTTTCGTTCACGTCCAGGGAGATTAGCTATAGCAGTGTTTCTCAACCTTTTTGCAGTCAAGGCACCCTTTAAAATTATGGACAGTCTTGGGGCACCCTTTAAAATTATGGACAGTCCCGAGGAACCCTTTAAATTATGGACAGTCCCGAGGAACCCTTTAAATTATGGACAGTCCCGAGGAACCCTTTAAAATTATGGACAGTTCCGAGACACCCTTTAAAATTATGGACAGTCTTAGGGCACCCTTTTAAAATTATGGACAGTCCCGAGGAACTCTTTAAATTATGGACAGTCCCGAGGAACCCTTTAAATTATGGACAGTCCCGAGGAACCCTTTAAAATTATGGACAGTCTTGAGGCACCCTTTAAAATTATGGACAGTCTTGAGGGCACCCTTTAAAATTATGGACAGTCTTAGGGCACCCGTTAAAATTATGGACAGTCCCGAGGCACCCTTTAAAATTATGGACAGTCCCGAGGCACCCTTTAAAATTATGGACAGTCCCGAGGCACCCTTTAAAATTATGAACAGTCCTGAGGCACCCTTTAAAATTATGGACAGTCTTGAGGCACCCTTTAAAATTATGGACAGTCTTAGGGCACCCGTTAAAATTATGGACAGTCCCGAGGAACCCTTTAAAATTATGGACAGTCCCGAGGCACCCTTTAAAATTATGGACAGTCTTGGGGCACCCTTTAAAATTATGGACAGTCCCGAGGAACCCTTAAAATTATGAACAGGCTTGAGGCACCCTGTAAAATTATGAACAGCCTTGGGGCACCCTTTAAAATTATGGATAGTCCCGAGGCACCCCATTCTAAAATGTGGAAAACTATTCTAATAGTTTTATATAACGTAGCAACATCCACACATGTAGGACACCCAACATTAGAAGGGATTTATTCTTTCAAAGCAAATACACTTCTGCACACTGGTACTGACTATTTCAATGTTTCTCTTCTCCCTCAGTTTTTCTCCAACAATGAGCTAATGTGACCCCAGCCTTGACGGAGAGAGGCAGGGGATGATCAAACTAGGATGCTGTGCAGGCAGCTGACATCCTCCTTATCAACTGATGATGTTATTGGCTGTCAGGATGCTGGCGGCTAGAAGACCGTAATGGTTCACTATGAAAACTTGTGGCTGTGTAACTAAAGAGTAGGCTTGTTCCACCCACTGGCTTGTATACAAGTTTTGGCCATTTTGCCAAGGCACCCCAGGGTGCCTGGGCACCCTGGTTGAGAGAGGCTGAGCTACAGTGCCATGGGGCTGTAAACTTCTTGACAATTGTGCGCACAGTGGACACAGGAACATTAAGATCTCTGGAGATGGACTTGTAACCTTGAGATTGTCCATGCTTTTCCTCAATTTTTGTTCTTAAATCCTCAGACAATTCTTTGCTGCTCTTTTTCTCCTCCATGCTCCATGTGGCACACAGAGACAGGTTGGGGTTTGTTTACTAAAGCTGGAGAGTGCACAATCAGACTCACTTCTGCATAGAAACCAATCAGCTTCCAGGTTTCATGGCCAAAGCTTCATTGAACAAGCTGAGGTTAGAAGCTGATTGGTTTCTATGCAGAAGGGAGTCTGATTTTGGACTCTCCAGCTTTAGTAAATAAACCCTGTTGAGTCCATTTTTCACCATTTTAACTGGTTGCTGGTTTGATTGCTATATTGGCAGCACCTGGTCATTGATACAGGGGAGTTTAATTACAAATTATAGGAGCATCGCAAACTTTGAATGCAATTATTTTTTACAATTTTGAGAAGGGGCCAATAATTTTGTCCAGTCCATTTTGGGGGTTTTGGGTGGAATGTGTCAGATTTGGCTTTTTGTTTCTCCACTTGTTTGTGTCATACCAATACCAACAAAAGAAATAAACATGAGAATGCCGAAACATTTGTAATTGCAACAGTTTTCTGGGTGAAGTGGTGCATTATCTGACAAATACAGGGGTGCCAGTATTTTTGGCCATGACTGTACTTGGTCTTCGTTGAGAGAATTCTGGTCAGATGACCTCTACCGAAGGGGTTGATCGGCCAATCTGTAGTGTCCCTTACCTTCAGCTGAGATCAAATGGAGGAAAAGAGGAGACCTGGAATGGCATTTTCTCCAGGAGTGGAATGCATTAAGACTCTTCACGTAAAGAATAAGGTCAGCAATGGTAGCATACATATTTATTAACGTTACAGTACTTATATAATGCAAACAATGTATGCAGCGCTTTACATATGTATTGTATATTCACATCAGTCTATGTCCTCCAGGAGCTTATAATCTAGGGCAGTGATAGGCAACCTTTCGAGCACACTGTGCCTAAATATGTTTCCAAAGAAACTGAGTGTGCTGGTTTTATTAAAAAAAAAAAGTCAACTTCACACTCTCAATCACAAAAAGGAACTTTTAGAAAGCAAATGCTGTAAATTACTTGAGTAATAATGAGAAACTAACATCCTGCACTGTCACGCCTCAGATCAGTCCCAAATCCTGCAACTCCAGATCAGCCCCAGTTCCTGCACCTCTAGTCCTCAGATCAGCCCCAATTCCTGCACCTCTAGTCCTCAGATCAACAAACAAGAGATCCCTGTGCTCAAATCCATACAGCTAGTGCATGCATTTATCCATCAGGTGCTAAAGGGGTGTAACCACATTAACTCTAGAAATTCTGAAGGACCCTCTGCACACTGGTATATACCCTTTCAAGCAAACTATGCAATAAATAGGGATATTTGGTTCACACATATTGCAATACATGCTTAAGCTGGCCAACTGCGTCAAAGTAATCCCTCTATGGTCAGTCCTACTCTGCCCTGCCTACGCAAGTGCTACTGTGGACACAATGCTAGGGTATATACCAGTGTGCAGAGGGTCCTTCAGAATTTCTATAGTCCTCAGATCAGCCCCAATTCCTGCACCTCTAGTCCTCAGATCAGCCCCAATTCATGCACCTCTAGTCCTCAGATCAGCCCCAATTCATGCACTTTCACACCTCAGATCACTGTACCCCCCTGCACATCTGCTCCCCAACTTTACCCCGTCTGCACATCTGCTCCCCCACTGTACCCCCCCTGCTCTTCTGCCCCACCCTGTAACCCCCTGCTCATCTGTCCCACCAGTCTACCTCCTTTCTCATCTGCCCCACCACTGTACCCCCCTGTACATCTGCCCCACCACTGTACCCCCTCTGCACATCACCATGTACCCCCTGCTTTTCTGCCACACCACTGTAACCCCCCCCTCTCTTCTGACCCATCTCTGTACACCCCCTGCTCTTCCCACCACTGTAACCCCCTGCTCATCTGTCCCACCAATGTACCTCTTTTCTCATCTGCCCCACCACTGTACCCCCCTGCTCTTCTGCCCCACCACTGTAACCCCTGCTCATCTGTCCCACCACTGTAACCCCCTGCTCATCTGTCCCACCACTGTAACCCCCTGCTCATCTGTCACACCTCTGTACCCCCCTGCTCATTTGTCACACCTCTGTACCCCCCCCTGCTCTTCTGTCCCACCACTGTAACCCCTGCTCATCTGTCCCACCACTGTAACCCCCTGCTCATCTGTCCTACCAATGTACCTCTTTTCTCATCTGCCCCACCACTGTACCCGCCCTGCTCTTCTGCCACACCTCTGTACCCCCCTGCTCTTCTGCCACACCACTGTAACCCCCTGGTCATCTGTCCCACCAATGTACCTCCTTTCTCATCTGCCCCACTACTGTGACCCCCTGCTTATCTGTTCCACCAATGTAACCCCCCTGCTCATTTTTTTCCCAGCAATATATCTCCTTTCTCTTCTGTACCCCCTGAGGTGCCTACATACTTTCTTCAAAGGAACTTTTCCAAGTGGTTCTGGGACTTCATGTATTTTTTTCTTATGTGTTTAATGAGATACACTGCTTCAATGAGTTTACTGGCTCTAGCAAAGCTGCTCACATAGAACAATGATCCCCTCCAATAGGTACCACAAGGGAGTGACTCGAAGCATATGGTATACATCAGGAGCGCAAAGCCAACAGACAAGGGTCCAAAAAACTGAAAGCGAAGTTCCAGTCACACTGTAAGAAAAAATAAAAGTCAACAGCTACAAAAACTGTAGCCCCTGACTCACCTGTCCCTCGAACCCACGGTGTCATCCCTGCAACCCGTTTCACGGGCTGATCGGTGTTCCCGACGCCAGCATCTTCAATGTGGGAACCAAGCTGTGACAGCTTGCGGCTTCACAGCCGGGTGCCCACTGCACATGCAAGACTAGCGCTGCACTTCCTAAATGGTTCCGTAGTCTTCTGGGACCTGTCACTTGTCTCAGAAGACTACATGGAGGGAGAGGACAACTTCCGCTTCCGATCGTCTAGGCGATCGCAACGGTGGTGGGAGTGGGTACCTGTGAATTTCAGGTACCTGTTCCCCCGCCACTCCCCAAAGGTGCCAATACTTAACGGCGAGTGGGGGACGAGTCTTTAAAGTGGAATTTACCCTTTTAGGTAGAGCTCCTCTTTATTTCCTTTTGTAGCAACATAAAACAACCAACACATTTCGGGAGCCCCAAACGTCATCAGGGCTTTAGAATATGAAAAGCTAAAATGGACTCAGTCACCCTCTTTAACGAAACAGTCTATATTCAGATGTGTATTAGGATTTCAAAATAAACAATGGAGAGGTTTTTATTGTGGTGGAAGCCCAATTGCACCTTCCATATTTATTACCGGGATGAAGTCAGGCTACATAAACAGTAAAGGCTTTGTCTGTAATTTTTATTATTTTTAACAAACTAGTATTTCAGCTTTTGCTAATTAAAAAAAAAAAACCCTATACTTGCAGCATGCTGGAGATCCAGATCTATGCTCTCACATATAGTGCAGCAATCCTGGGTCTCCAGCAGTCATACACACCCCATGCACAGCGCAACAATCAATAATGAAGCTCATTTAGGCATGAACGTTGTTGAGTGGAGCGCTGTGCAGGACCGCTGTTTTTGGCAGCCACTCAAATCTCCAGGGGGCAGCCAGCGCAGATCATTTTAACCCCATGACCTCACCAGGAGAGTGATGCCTCCGGCTGGTAGGAGAAACTCCCAAACACATGGCGCTGTGATTGGCTTCACATTGCTGACTTCATTGGGAGCCCGTCCAACCAGATCCTGATCCTCCCTAGTTGACCATGAGCCTGGTGACAGCTTGGTCACAGTTCTGGCAGTACCGATGTGGTGTGCCTCAAAACAAGACAGCAACACATATATACAGTGAAGGAAATAAGTATTTGATCCCTTGCTGATTTTGAATGTTACCCACTCCCAAAGTGGTCTTTGGTCTTTGCCATGGTGAAGAGTTTGGAATCTGATTGTTTGATTGCTCCTGTGGACAGGTGTATTTTATATAGGTAACAAAATGAGATTAGCAGCACTCCCTTTAAGAGACTGCTTCTAATCTCAGCTTGTTACCTGTATGAAAGACACCTGGTAGCCAGAAATCTGAATGATTGGGGATCAAATACCTATTTCCCCCATGAACATGCAAATCAGTGCATCATTTGTTAGACATGCATTTCTTTTG